GGCCATACATGTTCACAAAAATGCTTTGAAAAGGCCCACGGACCACCAGTTGATAATCACAGATTATTTTGTGAGGTTTCTTCCTGATTAGCAGGGAGTTTTTCCTCTCCACCGTTTGCTCAGGATGGGAGACTGTGATGAAGTGATTCAACACAATCTGCTGGTTTCGGTGCCCTGAGACAACGTGTTGTGACTTGGAGATGTATAAATAAACTGAACTTGAACTACCATTATTTTACATATTTTTATTCAAATATACATTTTGTAGAAAGTTAATTTCAGTTTGACATTAAGTTTTTTCCTCTTCTTTTCTCTTTTTAATAATGACCAATTTATTTTGACCATGACTGATTTATACTGCAATAAAAGCATAAAACATCCAAGCTGTGAATACTTTTTACCTGCAATATTTTTCCTAATACAYAAGACTTTTTTTCTCCACAGACTGTTCAACTAAATTAACTACAGTAGCTCTGAAAGTTACAGTGGGGCATTACATACTTGTAGCATTAAGAGTTTTATAACTGTAGTCACGTCTTTAACCAGTGAACAGTCACATTAAGAAGATTGCTATGTTTACATTACAATTTCTAATTTATGGACTTTCTTGTTACTAAAACTACTTACACTTTAAACGCTGTAYGATTGGCAATAATACAAGAAAACTAGACAAACAAAACTGACAGAATCAGTGCTAAAACTGTAATTATTTTTCATGTTTGAACATTTCTTTTTTTAATTATTCAATGTAAATTCTACACATTCATTGAAAAATGTTGCAACCCACTCAAAACAAACAGTAAGAAAAATGTAGGGTCTTTATTTACCAAGGAGGACATAGGATTGCTCCGGAAGCTCTGAAAAATACACTACATTAAGTAAAGCTGCACACTTTGTATTAATAACTGTACTGATATGTTTGTGCCCCTTATCTTTTTGACCATGTTAGTGCATATTTTCGTCTTATTTTTGCACTGGAGAACATCCATTTAATTTGTACTTTTATTTCACTTTTTGTGGTTAAATGTTTGTTCTTTAATATGTGAATGAATAGAACAAAAGTACTTGGTCCACTCCATTTACCTTGGATAAGTTTCTTGTTGACATTACTTGACTTACAATCCATTCCTGAAAAGGGGAGACAAATAAAAACATAAAATAAGTTACATTCAATAATAAAAATCACCAGCTATTATTGTTCAAAGTTAATAACTGTGAAAAGAGTCACTTTAAACGTCTGAATACCAGGCAATATTTAGACTGTTTCAGTAACGGTTCAAAAGACTGAAGGGGTTCTCAAGCCTTTTGGGTCTGGGACCCCTAACGAGGGCGAAACAAAACTCCAGGTACCCCCTCACAAACCCCACGCTGTTTTCAAAGATAATTTATTGTCATTTCAAATAGGGATGCACGATATATTGGTACTGATATCGGTATTGGCCGATATTGGCAATTTTTAGAACATCGTATCGGTCCGATATGTAAAACTGGGCCGATATTAACGTCTAATATTGATTTCCAACGTTTTATCTTTGTGTTTGTGTTTTGGGAGATGGTTGGTTTAGTAAAAATTTTTTGAGGACCCCCAAGATACTCCTCACGGACCCCTGGGGGTCAAGGGACCCCAGCTTGAGAACCTCTGAATAGTTAAAATTATCAAACTAAAAACAAAATGCTTCAATAACACGAAACTGCTTGTTTTTAACAATCATAGWAGAATAACTCAAAAATAGTCCCATGTTTTAATATTTAAACATCTTTTTTTTACTACCTGCAGAGTTGTAAAGTAACCAAGTACAAACACTTTGTTACTGTACTTAAGTAGATTTTTTAGGGTATCTGTACTTTACTTGAGTAATTATTTTTCAGCCTACTTTTTACTTCTACTTCTTACATTTTCACACAGTTATCTGTACTTTCTACTCCTTACATTTTATAAAAAATACAAGAAGTAGAAAGTCATTATTTTTTCATGTTTACTTGTTTTCATTGCAGCTTGTTGTTGTAAAAAATAAAAACTATCCATATAAACTGAGCCTCCTAGATAGAGTGAATTTAACTGTGGTTGAATGAGAAGTATAAATATATAAAACTCTGATTAGTTTGTTCAAAAACAAATGTCACACTCTAGCAGGAAATAGCAGACATGTATTTCATGAATTATATTATTGCATTTGGCCGCAGCCCTCAGRTAGATTTTCATTTTGGGGAAAAGCTTTGTGCAGCCTTGATATATGTATATAAACTGAAACAGCTGGACTAGTGCATCCTAAATTTAACATCCATTCATTCTTTTAATACAACAGTCATTTCTGCAGTTTTTGGGGAGGTCACCTCCTAATAAATGTCCTTACAGAAAATCTAACTGCTCGTTTTAAATCTACACTTTGACTTTTAATACTTAACTACAACAAATATCACATACTTTAAGACTTTTACTCAAGTAATATTCCTAAAGGAGACTTTAACTTTTACCAAAGTATTTTTTAGTAAGATACTTGTACTTTTACTCAAGTATCACTTTGTGGTACTTTATACAACTCTGGTAAGAGCTGATGAARAGTTGACACACAACAGACCAGCAGTGGTGGTGTGTTCCACCGGTGTGCTAACGCTGCAGCAGCCCCCCATGTTTGTTAGCTCTCCCGCCAACTCCGAGGCTTGARCCCGGTGCAACAGGCCCGGGTCCGCCGGGTGAACGCCTCTGCTCTGTCAGCCAAAAAAAGATGGCTGCCAGCCCTTAAAACGGCCGAGCACCACTAAACTGTGAATAATGGTCGTAATGGGACATCCCAGTACTCGACAATAAGTAAAAGTGTGTATTTGTATGGTGGAGACAACGAACAGGCCCTGACAGCTAGCTTACATGTTAGCCTCYCGCGCTAGCTACAGAAGCTAGCAGGTGATTTTGATGTTAAACAGACGTAAAGTTAGCCTACTTATAGCAGCGACAAACGTCAGCCATCGTTWGTAGCCCCAACCGGGAAAACATGGCTGTTTACCGTGTCGCTGGTTAGATRTTTAATCAGAGTTAGCTGTAAACAAAACATCAAGTCCGCACTGTAATCCTGTCAGAGGCAGACAATAAAGTTTTATGATTCAAAAACATTATTAAAAAGTACCACGTTTGACCGTACCGTCACTACTTTAGGCCTGTTTTAGGTCATTTACCGCCCCTAAACAAAACKATGCATCTTCAATTATACCATAACATGTCGAGTTGTTTTAACGATTCAAACGTTTAATGTCTTTATTACCTCTTCCCTGAGGAGTGGACGATGGCAGATGTCCGTCCACCGATGAGCTGTCGGCTGCCAACATCCTGACTGGTGATACTGGACTTTTCTCCTTCACCAGTTTGTTGTTCGACAGAAAAACGTTTTAAAACACCGGCCGACCTCACCTTAAACACATGAAACACGTCTCCCAAATCCAGACCGTTATTTAGTCTCTGCTGAACGATATGTAGCTACACTTTACTTCGCATAAAACACAACTAGTTTTATTTCCGCATCCGAAGTGATCTCTAGTTTACACAGATGCCTGCCTCGCGCTCCTGAATCGGAGTTGGCGGGATTCGGTCGCGTCCGTCMATAACCTTCGTTGATTGGACGAGAACAGCTCGCTGGGCTCCGAGGGTGCGCTCGATTTACACCACAGCTGTGCACGTTTGCGCCAGCTTGCGTTTTCAACACGGAGATTTGTTTAACCGTAGGACATAAGTTTCGGATGTTTTTGTGATTTCATACCGTTTTTATGAAAACAAAAAACACGTATGTTATACAATTCAGCGTACTTCATCGTGATTTGTACAGAAGGTCTGTTGTCTCCGCCCAGTGACGGGACACGCTTTGTAACAAARCCAACGACCGTAAAGTCATTTTACAGGACACGACTTCCGGACGGATGGTTCAGATTCACCGATTGGCGCTCTGCGGTGGAATTTATGGTTGCAATGTTGGACACACACACACACACACACACACACACACACACACACACACACACACACACACA